GACTTCTGTCAGTTTCTCCCACATGGGTAACCACTGTCCTGACCTCTAATAGCATATCTTTGTTTTGCCTGTGTTTTAGTCAGCTTTTCCAGTGGTTAGGACAAAATACCAGGCATCTGCAACTTAAAGGGGGAAAAGTTTATTTTGGTTTACAATTTCAATCCATGGTTAGTTGGTTCCATGACAGAAACATCAGGGTGAAAGGGTATGGTGGAGAACAGTTGTTTGCTTCATGGTCGCTGAGAAAAGATAACCCTTCAAAATCATATCCCTTATGACCCTCCTCCAACTAGGCCATACCTCCTAATAGCATATTTAGCTACGAACATCACAGGATTAATCCACCAAAGTATAGTGTGCTCATGGTCAGTCACCACTCTAGGAGTCTCTCAATCCACTTATGTTGACAATTAAGACGAACTGGCACAACCTACCTTTTCACTTTGTGTGAGTCTATCCAGATACACTCTGCTCTTTTGTGTCTGGCGTTTTCTCCTCCTCTTTTGCTTACAAAGAACAGTTTTATTTGGCTCATAGTTTTAGAGTCTCTGGTTTATAATTTTTTAAAAAATTATTTTTATTAGTATATGTTTACAGTACATAATGATTACATTCACTCTGGGGAATTGGCTCACGTGTATAACACATCTCAATTCTTCCCTCCATTCCTCTCCTTTTTTTTTCCAGCATCATCTTCATTTATTTATCTTATAAGTTTTTATAACGTTAATTATCATACCTATAGATTAACAGTCACACTAACAGGCCAAAACTACATGAAACATTTAAGACAATTATACTAAATTGAGGTTCACTTTTAAATACATCGTCTGTGCTCACTTACAATAACTTCTTTCTCTTTTTTCTTATTTGTCTTTTATTTTGCACTTTATATATTGAGTTTCTCATATAAGAGAAACCATGTGATATTTCAGCTTGTGTGTATGATTTACTTCATTTAGCATGATAGTCTCAAGGTACATTTATTTTCCTACACATGACTCAGGCTTATCCTTTATGACAGAGTATTATATATATACTTGTTTATAAATACCATATTTTCTTTATCCATTATCTATTGATGGACATATCGTCTGTTTCCAAGACTTAGCTATTATGAATTAATGCTGTTATAAACATGGGCATCCATTCCTCGCTGTGGTATGATATCTTTAACTCTTTTGGAAAGATACTTAGAAGGGAAATAGCCGGGTCAAATGGAATTTATATTTTTAGTTTTCTGAAGATTCTCTATACCGATTTCTGTAGTGTTGTACTAGTTCACACTCTCACAAACAATGAAGAAGAGTTCTTTTTTCCCCACAGCCTCTGTAGCATTTTTTATTGGTTGATTTCTTATTGTAACCATTCTTTCTGGAGTGAGATGGAATCTCAGTGTTGTTTTATTCTTCATTTCTTGAATGACCAGAAGTATTGAACATTTCCTTATGTATTTATTGGTTGTGGCTTCTTTTTTTCCTCCATTGTTTGTGAGATAGAACCATATTGTTAGATGCAGCTACAGGTTTTCATTCTCATTTTCATGTAAATTTTCACTATGTGGATGTTCTGTAATTCTTATGACTATTAGACATGTGAATAACTTCCAGTTTTAGCTGTTACATACAGTATTGCTGTAAATCTTGTATATGAATTTTGGTAGATAAATATAAATATTGTTGTTGAGCATAAACGTAGGAATGGACTAGGTCATAGAATATTTATATATTTAGCTTAAATAGATATTACCAAGTAGGGTAAGAGTATAAATAATTGCACCAACTTATAGTTCCACCAGTAATGTGAAAGTTTTTGAATTTTATTGTTAAGATGCTATTTTGGGGGTGGGTAGGAGGTGCATATTATTGTTAAATTGATTTTGGTTCATTTTTTTCTTTAAAAAGAAATAGTCATAGTGGCCTTGTGAATTCTTCGAAAGCTATATTAAATATTTGCCTCTGAGTACTCACACACACCTCTTTCTTTGGCTCTCTTTGTATGTAAAAGTGAATTATCTCTGTGATGTGTTTTATGTATATATCATGTGCATACACATGTGGATAATGTGGGTTTGTACATATTTTATCCTAAAATCAAACTACTTACAGTTAGGCTGAAAAGCTGTTTTAAAACCATCTAATCAGGCTTGTATGGTCTCTGAATTCACAATGAGCATATGTCTAATGATGGAGACATGTTCTTTTAGGATGACATTTGTCTTTATCCCATAACACACTGTTGTCTCTTACATGTTGAGGAGACATCTGCCTCTTTTTAACCTTCCCCTAAAAATCACGCTCTTTTAAGGTCAACACTCAAAAGATCAATAGCCTTCTAATACACAAATAACAGACTCACTGAGAGAGAAATTAGGGAAACAGTCCCTTTCACAATAGCATCCCAAAAATGAAGTATCTAGGAATCAAATCTAATGAAAGTGAAAGACCTCTACACTGAAAACTACAGTACCCTGAAAAAAGAGATTGAAGAGGATATAAGAAAATGGAAAGATATCCCCTGCTCCTGGGTAGGAAGAATCAACATAGTGAAAATGGCCATACTATCAAAACTGCTATACAGATTCAATGCAATGCCAATTGAAATTCCAACAGTATATTTCACAGAACTAGAAAAAATAACCCAAAAATTCATTTGGAACCAGAAGAGACTTAGAATAGAAGAAGCCATCCTAGGCAACAGAGACATGGCAGTGGGTATAACAATTTCCAATTTGAAACTGTACTACAATGTCACTGTGATAAAAACAGCATGGTACTGGCAAAGAAACAGACCTGAGGATCAGTGGAATAGATTGGAAGATACAGAAACAACTCCAGATGTACTCAGCTGCCTCATCTTTGACAAAGGAGCCAACCATCCTCACTGAAGGAAAGATAGCCTCTTTAATAAATGGTGTTGGAAAAACTGGGTTTCAACCTTCCACAGATTAAAACTAGACCCTTAGCTTTCACCATGCACTAAACTAAAATTGAAGTGGATTAAAGATTTAAATATTAAAAAAGAAACATTAAACTTTCTGGAAGATAAGTTAGGCAAAACTCTTGAAGACATTGGCATAGGAAAAGACTTTATGAATAAATCCTCAGTAGCACGGGAACTAGCAGAAAGAATCAACAACTGGAATCTCATCTTATTAAAAAGCTTCTGCACTGCAAAAGAAGCCATCAACAGAACTAAGAGACAACCTACAATGTGGGAAAAAATTTTTACCAGCTGCTCCTCAGACAAAGGACTATTATCTAAAATATATAAATAACTCAAAACAACCAGCCCCCCCAAATATAAAGACCCAATTCAAAAGTGGGTATCTGAAATGAACAGACATTTATCAGACAAAGTAAAAGCAGCAAGTAAATATATGAAAAAATGTTCCACATCACTGGTTATTTGAGAGATGCAGATGAAAACAACACTGAGATTCGATTCCACCTCACCCCACAAAGAAGGGCTGCTGTCAAGAAATCAACCAATAACCAATGTTGGCGGGGTTGTGGGGAGAAAGGAACCCTTCTCCATTGTTGGTGGGAGTGCAGACTGGTACATCCACTATGAAAATCAATATGGAGATACCTCAAAGAGCTGGGATTAGAGGTTCAATTTGACCCAGCCATTCCTCTGCTGGGTATCTTTCCAAAAGAATTAAAAGAATCATACCACAGTGATATATGCACACTCATGTTTATAGCAGCACAGTTTGTAATAGCTAAAACTTGGAAACAGCCCATCTGCCCATCAGTTGGAGACTGGATAAAGAAGATGTGGTTTTTCTATAAAATGGAATACTACTCAGCCATCAAGAATGAGAAATTAGATTCATTCATAGGAAAATGGATACATATTGAGGATATACTCCTAAGTGGAATAAATAAGTCATACATGTATAAATACTGAATAGTTTCTCTGGTGTGAAAAACTGTAATAGTACATAAGATCCTAATGGTATAATTGACAATGTGAAATAGGAAGAAAAGGGCTAAAGGTGTAGGGGACGTGGGAAGGGTAGGGGAAAGGTAATAAGGGAAAAGAAAAAGTATGAGAAAATGAAAAAAATGGAAATAAAGCTTTTGTAAAGTGAGGAGAGGGTGAAGGGAGGGCAGGGAGTAAGGGGGAAAAAATGAGAATAAGACCTGTCATGTAAAGGTACAAGATCCCAATGATGAATGTAACTGTACTGTATACCTAAAATGTACCAATAAATTCAATGAAAAAAAAATCATGCTCTTTTATATGTGGGCACCCCCCCCACCCATCCCCATATTGTAATAGATTGCAGTTTCTTTGGGCTGAGGTTCACCCATTTTCTTTTTGGGTACTGGGGATCAAAATCAGGACCTTGTGCTTTTGAAGCAGGTGCAGTGCCACTGAGCTAAATCACTAGCCCCAGTTATTTTTTTAACTGTATTTTTGAACATCTTCCAAATCATGGTTTATGAGTGGTTTTCTCTGAGGAATTTGGATGATAAACCTTGCAGATAACGGAGAACTCTGTAGTGTAGTAGATAGAAAAAAAAATCTACCTTTCTTTTTAAGATTGTTTACTTGTTTCCCAGTTTTCCTGTCATAAATACACATCAATCCCTTCTCACATTGCCCAGGTTTAAGCATTGTTTAAAATTAGGGACTGGGAATTTAGCACAGTGGTGCTGCTGCCTACCTTGCAAGTGTAAGGACCTGAGTTTGATCCCAGGTACAAAAAAGAAAAAAACAAAAAAAGAGAATATAAAACTCTCAGTAACATATTTTAAGAATCAGATTATAATGGATAAAAGGAGAGAAAAACATTTTTATAGAACATGGACCATTACCTTTAACCAATTCAATGAATATGGACTAATTCTTCTGATGGGAAATATATGTCTTAAGATTTTTGAATTTCCAGATGATATTAATATTTGTAAAACTTTAGAATAAAAATAATTTTAAAGTTGTAGTGAATAATTTAAGTCTCATGGATATTAATATTTCCTTTTTCTTTACAGGCAAGAAGAGACTGATAGGAGAGTGAAAAATGTAAGATATATTTATTTTAATTGAGCATTACAGTTTTTAGTTTTGTATTTTGTAAGAAAGTAGTGGATTTAAAAATATCCTCTGTATCTGTTTCTTCTAATTTAATTTCACCTAGAAACTACTAGTCACAAACTCTGAATGTACTTAAGTATATTGTTAAAATACATGGTTAGAAAATATATTTCCTGACATAATGGTATAAGAGGGTTGGTTAGATTTAGGAAGCTGGTTGTTGTGGTACTAATGTGGTAAGGACTGGCTCATTTTAGGACTTTTAGGGGAGCAAGTAGAAATCATCATATCAGACTTCAAGGAAAAACACTGAACATTTAAAGTCTCTGGGTAATTATTCATTGTAAACTCATATACTATCTTTAATAGTCTAAATATATAAAAGAATGTCTAAAAGGGACAGCTTTATTTTTAAAAAAGCTTAATGTTCTTGTTAAGAATGCTGAGAATTACTTATTTTAGGTGTTTGTTCTGTAGTTTTATTAAAAATATTGATGGGATTTAAAGTTTTATTTGTGTTTTTCTCTTACAAATGTTTGCCTCCTTTATATATGCTAGAATACCTTTTGCTCAGAGAACTTGTTCTGAGACAAGAAAATCTAGTAAGAATAATTAGACTTTTCTCTTTTTGGTACTGGGGATCCAACTCAGGACCAAACTCGGGACCTCGTGCTTGCGTGGAATAATTGAGTTTTTTTTTTTTTTTTTTTTTTTTTTT